CACACACACACACACACACACACACACACACACACACACACACACACGGCTCGTCAGGAACAATGTTATCTACGACTATGAGTTTCTGAAGAGTTACTCGAAACAAACAACAGCATTTTAGAGACTTGGGAATGATCTCACCCAGCTCGATGCGTTCGTAGTCGGAGTCGAGCAGGAAGGTGCGGAAGCGGTTGGACACGTGGTGGTAGGCCAAGAACTTCAGGTAGTACTGACTGAACTCAAACTCCATGGGGAACTGCAGGTGGATCTGAGGGTGGGGGGAGAAAGGGATTCATAGGTCAGGGTTACAGTTTAAAAGGGGGATGGCGACATGGTTCGGACTGCATACATGCTCGTGTTCACACAGTCATACATTTTGGGCTGGGTCCAGACCTTTGCATCCGCCCACTCAATAGTCATCTAAAGTCCAAGTCAGTAAACTTGATTTGTCTGGCATCATGACATGAAACAGCTGTTTCTAGATTAATAAGCTGAAATAGCCAATGACCTCTGGGGGGCTAACACCGTTGTCAAGAGTTTGCTTCACAGCCTGTCCCTCTTCCTATTCTTGACAAAGGTGCTACGTTCGCACTGCACACAGGCTGAACAGAGAGCAGAAACAACCACGACACTGCCGTCTGATGTGTGGGACAGCAGGGGCCACTGACGATAAGTGAAGCCGCACTTCCTGCATGTGATAAGAGGGCAGAACCCACGTCACTGATCGGCAAAACAGGAAATAAAGTCGGAAGTACAGGTAGACACACACAGCATTGGACATAAACACGGTAAGAGGAAAACATATGTATCATTACACACTGCTTCTAGGCTCAGCTGTTATAATGTTGTGTTGTCCTTATTGTCTTTTCTGTGTTAGTTGTTCATTTTTCAATTATATTTTTCATACACAAATTCCTTGTGCGTGGACTGAGGATTTAAAGTGCATTATTTAAATAAACCTACCGGTATTATCAGTCGGATTCTGATCTTCATTCAATATAATTTGCATCACAGCAATAAAGCAGTAAAGATACCGATATCTGCTGACCTCTGACCTTCCATATCTCTTATTAAAACAACAGTATTTCTGCTGTGAAAAAAAGGCAGAAGCCTCACAGGCCGCGCTGCAGACCCACCTGGTGTACGCAGTCCAGGAACTGCAGGAAGACGGGGGTGAAGCCACTGCTCTGGCTGCCCAGCGTCTGCGCTCCGCGGTGGCTGAACCGGTGGCCGAATGACAGCCACTCCTTCTCCACCAGCAGCCGGAAGCCGTCGAACGTGCGGTAGTACGGATCAGACAGCAGCTGCACCAACGACACCACCTGTACACACAGAGCGCCGTGTCAGTCTTGAGCCTCGCTCACAGTTTCTTTCGGAATAAAGCCGAAGCTTCTGCATGCGAGTCAAACCTGTGTGGTGACGTCCCAGCCGTCCTCCAGGCTAACCATGACCGACGAGCCCGTATCCAGGAGCTCCACCACCAGCACGGACACCTGCAGCACCCTGTGTAGCTGCACACACACACACACACACACAAGGGTAAGAACAACGCCCGAAGGTCACAGAATGACCGCTGCTGCATGCGCTGAAGCGGGGAACACTAACCAGAGCCATCCACTCCGACTCCTCCAGGCAGCGCAGGAAGCTCATGTTGGGATCAGAGGTCGAGGAGCTCGGCACGCAGGCCTTCATCAGCTTCTTGAAGCTGTTCTTCACCTGCCGCACGTCGCACACCTCGATGGGAACCACCTCCCACTGCTGGAACGAGTCCTGCTTCCCGCCCTGAACGCAACGACACCGTCCAAGTCAATACTGCTAATCTTTTTCCAGCCCTTCATCACAGTTGACCCCGAAAACATCAGCGTGTCTCTGGTTACCTTGAGCTGGGCCTTGTCTCCGATGATGTAGAGGTAGGCCTTCTGCTGGCGGAGAAACAGCGCCTCGCTCGGCCCTCCGTTGGGCTGTGGGGACTCCTTTCCTGCCAGACGCGTTCCCACGTCTGCGTTGTAGGCACTTAGGCGCCCGCTGCCCCGGATGCTGCCCCATTTACCTGCAATAAACACACAAACACACACACACAGTAAGGTAGAGTCTTCAGAAGAATTGCGACATGAAAACGGAAATGTCAGAGCTGATATGGAAGTCTTGTCCACTTTAAACAGCCATTAAAAGATCGGAATGATCCTTTAAAACACACCGACGTGTATAACGTCCTCAGCTACTGATAGCCATGCTGTATATAACGAGGCAGAAATGACTGAAAAGTACCCAGCCCAGCTCATTACGTCTAGCTCAGTGACGGCTACATTATGACGTTGACTCTGATTGATTCTTCCCTCTGTTGAATGTCAGCAGCAAACAGGAAACGACAAACAAGACGTCAGACAGCAGAGCTGCGGCAGCAGCATGCACTAACAGCACACCATTAGTCCGCGCAGACAACACGGAACCACGGCAAACACACTGACACTACTATTAGAGAGATCTGATTGGTTAGACAGGAGTGGAGGGATGTGGGTGGGGGCGTGGCCTACTGTACCTCTAGGAGGGTTCTTGGCCTTGCCAGACACTTTGGGCTGAGAGAGGGAGATGACTTTCGCCCTTTGACCCAGAGCTGAGGTCAAACGACAGAGACGACCAGTTAACCAGCAACGCCACACAATGGAGGATGGTTTCACATACACACACACACACATTCATCATCCTCCTCCTCGTCCAGTCCCAGTTTCAGTGACTAATTTAAAACACAATTCGTTCTGAAACCAGGAACTGCAACAGACTAAAGCTAACAGAAAAAACGACAGGAGCACTGTGGGACACGCACACACACATCTTACCTCCTCTGCTGAAGGTTCCGGGAATGTCCTCCTTGGTGCCCATCACCTGCTTCATCAGAGCGCCGATCTTGGGCTGCCTCAGCTTGTCTGAGGAGTCTGTGGACGGAGAAACCCATCAGCCATGTGACCCCACAGTCCCAGTGACAAGTAACATGTCGTGTGTGTGTGTGTGTGTGTGTGTCCACCCACCAGAGGTGCTCATATGAGTGGAGGTGAAGCCGCTGAGTGTGTTCCTGCCGCTGTTCTCGCTGTAAGAAGGCATGGAGCTGATGATGGCCTGCAGGTATTTCTCCTGCTCCAGACTGGTGGAGTCGGCCTGCGAGGGCCCTGCACAGAAAAGACAAATTAACCAACCTTTATGCTTCACGCTATGATATGCTTTTTGTTACAGTTACATTTTGTTGCAAAAGGTTGCAGATCTTTCTCTAGATCTCTAGGGAAAGACAAAAAAAATACATCTTATCATTTAATCGTATCTTTTCCAGGTAATATCTGGACAGCTAGGGTCAGAGTAACAGCTTGTCATGACCTCTGACACCTGTATTCCTTACCACCGGTTGAGTCAACGCAGCTAACGTCTAAAGGCCTGGTGAGGGCATATGTATGAAGCGGGGAGTTTCCAAAAAATAACCGGCAACCGTCTCCGGGAATAAAAACAAAAAAGGGTTCAGCACACATTTAATCAACAAAGTGCCTAAAATAGATTTATGTTTTTTCTTTTTTGTACCTGAAGCAGGGGCGTTAGGGGACTTGAAGAAGCCCACCACCCCCTTCGCATGGAGGCCTGCAGATCGCAGCAGGACGGCCTTGGTTCGCGGATTCCTCCAGCAAACCACGGGGAAGCGATTCTGCCGGTAGCAGCGGCAGATTCTCTGGATGGTCGTGTCTGGGATGCTCTGAGGCACAATCAGCAGGCCCGGGTAGCTGTGAGACAGACACAGACACACACACAGACACACACAGACACACACACACACACACACACACACACACACACTGTGTTAAGCACTGGAGAAACAACCCCTCTTCTCTGTGTGCTGTCCTCCGGCGGGCTCCCACCTCCTGCAGACTGTGTACATGCGGTTGACGGTCGAGATGCGGAACGGCTCGTTTTTCGAACGCGTCAGGCTGTTACTGAGCGTGCCCAGGCCCAGGCGCTGGTAGTCCCGGCAACAGGCGCGCTCCACGACGTTGCTCATGGTCTGCCTGTCAGACGAGCGCATGGTGGAGGAGAGGGTGAGGGAGCTCTGGTCCACTTCCTCTGAAACTATGGCATAAGACACAGAGAACTGTGATGTCAGCCCACTGCACAACGATGTAAAAGAAAAAATCAAAGAAGGTCTGACAAAGAGCGCAAAGCGATTACCTGAGATTTCATCCTCGTCCAGCTCTGACTGGAAGCTGCTGCGGTTCTCCCAGGTGGGGGGGGAGTACTTCTTCCTGGTCACATACTGCCGGCCGATGGTCCTCTTGGCACTCTTCACCAGGTTTTTGGAAAGTGTCCTGACGAGGATAAGGGGGAAAAAAGGAAACGTTAGGCCATACATCGCTGTGCTGATTCAATAGCGTATCCCATTCAAAGTCACTTGGCATCCACTTCCTTTCGGGTTTTTCGTTCAGATTTGAAGCGGTGTCCAGATATTCACATGTCTGAATGGAGGGTTTTTAGCACACACAAAGAGCAGAGATGGAAACAACAGAGCCAATAAAACGGCTGCCACATTTTCCACTGATTAAATATTCAACTGCTGCTCCCATGCTCCTTTTTATTCTCCAGAAAGGAAAGCGTGTGTGTGTGTGTGTGTGTGTGTGTGTGTGTGTGTGTGTGTGTGTGTTGGGAGGGGAATGAGAGTTGGTTGCTGAGACTTTGAATAAAGAGGTGACAAATAAAAAAGAACACAGAAAGGAAACTATATCAAAACATAAAGTCACATTGTGGCTAGACCGGGTCATTAACCACTATATTATATTCATCCAGAAAATGATAACAAACCGAGAGGATTACTCTTATAAAAAGGTGAAAGATAACAGCAATCTTTTCTCAATGCATCATATATATGAACGTGACGGGATGCAGCCAGTGTGAACTCACTCCCTGCAGACCTGAGAGCATGTTTTCACACTCGCACCCCAGGCGTGATGCACTCTGACAGAGGAGACTGGACACGATGATGCACCTGGACCACATAACAAGCGGCACTTTACAATGATGCAGCTTCTGTAGCTGCAGGAGAAACCCTCCTGTTTGTGCACACACCGGTTCACACGGCCGAATCACAAGGGAACCGGCTTCTGTTTATAAACTGACATGTACTCATGCAGATTTGCAGTGACATCAGCTGACAATAGTGTAGACAGGCTGTACGGGCAGAGGCCTGGCATGTAAAAGGCCTTTAAGTTGCGTCTGCCCGTAACAATGCAAACATCAATCTGAAAGACACAAAAATACCTCTACATTTGTTTGTTTTTTTCAATCTTTTTCTGGACTTTTAGCTGTTAACATCTTTCTCATCAACACATACCAGATGTATTCTCATGTTTTGTAGTTTGAAGCTAGATACTCTGGTTCCAATGGGTCACTACAGAAATCAAATCCTGATTGATTTTAGCTCTGACTGGTTTTAACTTGTTTAAACTGACTAGTGTTGTATCATATGAATTTTATTATTTTTTCATATTGTATTATTGTGTTTCTAAAAAAGGTTAGTTTTATTGATACACCTATGAACTTATGTCTCTCTTGAAAATGAGATCTTGATCTCAACCTCATCATATAAAGTGTATATTTTAATGTAGCGGGTCAACTGAGTTCACTGATCCTCACATTTGAACATGTGACTGATGAAATCTGGTACCATAAGCCTTTAAAACAACTCCAAACACACATGATGTAAACAAGCCTCTGGCTTCATCACCTAGGTTACATAATACGCTGTGACTCTTTGTGACCTTCAGCATGGTGAAGTATGGGGTGCGCATACTTGAGCTTGTGGTGCGAATGAATAACCTGGTAAATGCAACAGCTGTGAAGCATCATCACTGAGTTACTTTTAATGAAACGCTCTGTGCTGACCCACGAGATGCTATGAGTCGGTTCCTTGATCGACGCGGTGCTCGTGTTGCTGATGGATGGCTCCAACTAGCAGTCTTTGTAGTTCTTTCGTTTCTCTTGCATAAAAACATGTGTTCTACATGGAGGGCTCCTTACTTGAGGGACTGGTTCTTGTCCTTGGTCTTGTGCTCCACCACCATCTTCCCACACTGACCCATGGTGAAGGCGAAGGTCCCCTGGACGTGCTGAGGATAGCGCAGCTTGTGCATGTGCTTCCTAAAAACCTCGGCCAGGTCTGAAGCGACCTCCTCGTCGAACGCAATCTTCATCAGCTGCAGGGGCAGACAGAGAAAAGAAAACAGGTGAAATCTGGGAAAGGAGTACGAGAGAGGAGCCGGATATTTGCTATGGGAGTTGAGGATGTGAGGGTACCTGGAAGGTGCAGGACCGTAGCTGGAGCCCCTCCTGGACAAACTGGTCCATGGGTAAAGTGACGGAGATCCTTTTCTCCTTGGTCAGAGAGGCGATGGGGAACGAGCGAGTCACCACCTGCTCACCCACTGCAGGAGATACGCAGACAAAGAACAGGGTTTAGAGAACCCACAGACCTGACATGGAAGCTTTCACAGTTTGTGTGTGTGTGTGTGTGTCATCTCTCACCCAGCGGGTCGTTGGGCGTGCCCTTGAAGATGAGCCGGTAGGTGGTGAGGAAGATGGCGCCCTCGGCAGGGAGCAGGGGCGGACCTCCCATCAGCCCCGTGGCCTCCTCTCGGCCGTCGGGGATCAAGTGGACCCGCATGCCGTCCATCACCAGCTCCTCACCGGGCAACAGCATCGGCCTCAGCAGCTTGGGCTGTGCAGAGATAGAAAGAGCGGAGGGAGATTAATCATAAAGATTCTTTAGCCAAATATTTCCATAGCAACAGTTTAATATAATTTAGCAATTTGTCATTGAGTTCATTTGGATCTCGGACTGTAAAAACCCTCAAATCCTCCCGATATTTCAGTTTATTTTGGGAGGATAATAAAGCTGCACAGTGATGCACTAAATCGACCCTGATAGTGTTCATTTAAAACCCTCTAGTCCTGTGGTTCCAGGACCCCACAAGGGGTCTTCATTTGAATCCAAGGGGTCAGGAAAAGTAGTTTAAAAAAAATAAATAATAAAACTAATCCTTCCTGTATAGTTAAACATAGTTTACTTTGACCCTTTCACGTATTTGAAAATGGTTCACATAAAACGGTCTAACATGCTGCTCTTATTAAATGTGACACCTGCAACTGTAATATACAATAACACATGTAATTGTGCATATATATATATATATATATATATTTCATGGCCACTCATCAAAATGTCATGCGTTCACAAGCATGCTGAGGTTACTGACTGGATGATAACCTGCACTGTTTGTGAAGTTTAGCTAATGTTGAAATGATCGTTGCATAACACACAACATGATCTGGGATTGGTGGGATCTTGGCACAAACGATAAAAAAAAGATAAATACACAGACTGCATAATAATATTCATTTGGGTGTGTTTATGCGATGGGACATTCACTTTGGTATTTCTTAAAAAACAAGGACTGTCGTGTTTTGAACGGTCCCCGAGGATCAGAGGCTCGATCACAGAGGCCTGTGTGGGCTGCTGAGCTCTTCTGAATATCAACAGTATGAAATATGAAGCTGGCTTTGTCCTCAGATAATTAAATCACTTCCTGTTCCCCCCAGCGGGGCCCAGAGAGCTTCCTAAGGAACTCCACCTCTGATAGGAAATGAATTACAACTCTGGTAACCTGTTTCCTAATCTGTTACGCAACACCTACTGCCACACATGACTGCCCTCCGGCTGCAGAAAAAAGGGTGGAGTTTCTTCTGGAGGCATTTAACTGCGAAGACCTCAACGGTTACAAATTGCACAGAAATGTTTTTTTTTGTGTGTTTCTGCTCAGCCCATGATCTAATATCCACTAGCTAAACGGATCCTGAAGCTCACGACAAAAGAAACTGCTGATGGGACATTGTGAGGTAAGATGCAGGGAGGAAAGACATTCCCGGGGGGGCGGGGGAATGAGCACAAGTCTTTAGTGGAATGACAAAGCATGTCACGTTTAGCCTCGCGTAGCCACCGACACACTGCACGCAGGACTAACAGCACCCTTCAAAATGAAGGCACTCAGCTCCGCGGGGCCTCGGAGAAACCAAACAGCACATCAAGGCAGAGCAGTCAACCCGGCATGCACTGCTCGGAGCGTGCTTGCGAGTCACGCGGTTTCTGCCTCTGGCGGACAGACGTACCTGCTGTGACACTGTGAGCCTGCGCTGCGGGGATTGGTGGAGAGGGGAGTGGGCGGGGCTGGCTGGGGTTCTGCACGGCCTTTGTCCAGCGGAATGTAAAAATAGGAATTGGTTACCTTTTGGATCGGAGGCAGTCTCTTGCTCTCCCTGTGGACTGCGTCCAACGTCTCGATGTGCATCTGAACGATGTCTGCAAGGAGACGGACAGAAGGACGGAGACGGAGATCAGAGGTGAGAGATCAGTGAGTGAGTGTGACAGGTGCTGGTGTCTCCGTACCTGGTATCATGGTGTGGAGGGCCTTTAGGTGCTCGTTGGTCACGCCGCTCTCGTTGCACACTTTGTCCACGAAGCGGTTGATGAAGCGCACCACCGAGTTCGCCACGTCAGAGCTCTCGGCGTCTTCGAAGCCACTCTCCGTGTCGTAGCTCTCCGCCATGCTGCCTGCAATACTACAAGACCAAAAAAACCCTTTATGTTTCCAAACTCTAAAGGACCCGCTTCAGAATGGCGCTGCAGTAGGAAACGAAGCTGTGTCTGAGCTCAGCTTCATGTGTATTGTTCTTTATATGCGTGTGGTGTAAAGTATAGTCACCTCATGTCCTCACACTGAACAGCTTGTTTATGGAGATCTTGGATAGCTTTGATTAAATGTGGAACTTCTTTTTTTAGTAGTTAACGTTTCCCATGAGGATAAATTAATATTGGATGAAATGATCTTCACTTTACAGATTACAGATGGTGAATAATGGCGGTTTCATCACAATGAGAGTCCTTGGTTGCCCAACAGTTTGTTTTTTTACAGACAACTTGGGATCTTAAAATAAAAGTTCATATTCATTAATGTAAAGAGATTTTAAACTAAAGTTCAGTGTTTAAAAAAACAAAACACTTATCAGAACATGCTATATTTGATCACTTTAAAAATAAAGTTTTATTTTCCTGCTATGGCTATTTTCAAGATAAAAATGACATTTTACATTTTAGCATATATCAACCTTCAGTGGAATTGTGTCATTACGATATGAACATGGTTTATAAAATGATTTTGTCCAAATGAATGATTCTCAGCGACATTTAATAATGCAGTAAGATAATTGGTTATGGAACGGTTTTGTCTGAAATAACAACGATTATTGCTTTCAACATCAATGTGATTATTTTATTTCATTTATTTATGTGTTAGCAATAAGGTTATAGTGACTTTAACTATGAGAAGGTGAGTCTATACTTATCCTTTACAGGGCTAGCTGAACATTTCTCTCTTTTAACTCTGATCCCCTTTGGGTTTCTTTAAGATTATCTTAGGGCTTTTATTGACGTTATTAGAAGAGCTGGAGAATGACAGGAACGGGGAGAGAGTGAGGGAACGCCACACAGCAAAGGACCGCGGGTCGGAACCAAACCCGCCGCTGCCAAGGACTCTGCCTCCGTGGGGTAAATCCTCTGCCAAGTCCCTACGAAGGCTGACAGCCGGCCGTACCTGTTCGTGACGTAGCTGTTGCTGACGCTCTCCACGTCTGCGAGGCCGGTGGTCCTCAGCAGGCGGTTCTTGCTGGTGTCCAGCGGCAGCAGCAGGTAGCTCATCCTGTTGGCGTAGTGGATGGCCTGGCTGAACACCGTGCTCTCCTCCTTCTGCACGCGTTCCGTCTGCATCTCCTTGCTGAGCGTCGGCCACAGCCGGCTCTGCTCCGACGCCAGCTCCAGGGCGCTGATTTCCCTCCCGTCGCCCGACCCGTCCGGCTGCTCCTGAGAACCAATCAGAGAGAGGCTCGTTAGTGATTCATCATCCCAGACAAAAATGACCCTCAGCTCAGCAGGTTGGGGGACTGACTCAGTCTAGATTTATTCCAAGAAATTCATCCAAACTTTTTACATCACTTCTTTGTTCACTCTGGAACCATATTGAGTGTGACGTAGGTGCTCACATGGTTGTTCTGCTGCTCTCCCTCTGTCTCCAGGTACAGAGCTCTGATGTGGTTCTGGACGTCACTGTAGAACATGGCCTCCCAGAAGTGCATGGTGGTCCACACTATGTGCTCCTGGACGCAGCTGTAGGCAAACTGAGTGATGCCTGCGCCCATTTTCTGTCAGGCAAACACAGGGAGAGACTTTTATGAGGGGGACCAGCCACTTGGAATGACATTCAGATCTGTAGAATTCATGTTCAGACAAAGACATTCCACCAACCTCAAAACAGCCCTCACTCAGTTAAATGTAAAACCACGACGGGGATCACTGGATTTTTAATGGCTTAATGGGTTCTTTGCAGTGCTTGAGGTTGATTTGGGGCAATGTGGAATGACTTTGGTGACGCTAGTTATGAACTTACTCTGCAGAAGGCTGTGACCAGTGGAAGGAGGGCAGCTGCAATACCGTGTTCATCTATATGTGAGCAGTCCTGAACAGAAATAAAGAAGCAATGAATGATGTAACAGCTTGCAAACCATAAAACACAATTGTATTTAACATCTGACGCTCGTCATTGGACTATTCATTGTATCTGCTTTAAATACAGATAGATCTTGTATGTTAGATCTTGTAAATGACTTCTCCTTTAGCATCATTAAAGTCCAACTGAAACTACAGAACTGATCATTTTATGGCATCATTTTTAAGTAAGACCTTTGGTCGTGGGAGAATTATGAGACATCTGGGCACAGACCAGCAAAAGGCCCCACCACCTCTCCTACACATAGGAGCAACACACTCAGGCTTTACAACTGTTCCTATAAAAGCCTCTTTTTGTTGTTGTTTTGTGTCCTTTTGTAGTCGTTAAGCATATCTCTGTGTTTTGTGTCACTTTGTAATTGTTTGGTCTTTTTGAAGTTATTATTTGTCTGTGGTTGTTTTGCACCTTTAAGTAGTCATTTGTGTCTCTTTGTAGTTGATTTGTGTCTCTTTGTAGTTGTTTTGTTTCTATTTTGCGCCTGGGCCTGTGCACAGTATGGCTGTTCAGTAAATCATCCATGACTTTGGTGATATTCTGGCTTTTCCAAATTTGCTATTTGTTGACCAAATACATGAAAAGCTGACATGGCATTCTAATCCTCATCTGTTTATCTCTATGTTTTCTTGCCATACTTCCGTTTGTCATAGCACTTTGAAGACGAACATCTCATCAAGTTTTTTTGCTATACTATTGATTTCAGTGACATTCTAGTATTTGCAGACTCACCTGTAAGGTGCAGTTCAACATTCGGACAATGTAGTCAAACTGCTGGTCATCCAGCACAGCTCGGTTCTGCAGGACGTGCTGATTGAGCTCCTGGGTCAAACAAACCCGGGCTGCCCGACCCTTCAACGCCCGCAGCACAGCCGGCATCAACTGGACAGAGGAGATGAAAATAACCGCAACAGCTGAATCACACACATAAAACCAACAGGACAGATTACACGTTTTGAGGTAAACAGAGGTAAGTTAAGTTGCTGAGGGACAAGACACTTACAGGTTTAGGAGCAAAAATTAACCGTTTTGTCATGCGTCAGGAATGAGTCACTCTTACTTTCTTGGCCTCCAGCATCTTGTTCTCGAATATGTACGTGATGCAGTTCCTGACTACCTCCAGCCTGCGGGCACTGTTGGCCATCACGCTGCCGTTCCTGTCCACGGTGTCTCCTGTGGAGATGCCATAGAAGTGATCAGACCCTCGTTCATCACTGGGACACCAAGCTCAACCCCATTAAACACACACTGTGAGACAGACTGTCGGGAGGGAAAAGTTCACACAGGAAGTTTGAGGTGAAAGTGGAGGTATTGAACTGTCAAACCCAACACCCGCTGCCTTGCAACAAACTTTTGTCAGGTGTTTAGCACTTTCTTAACACCTGCACACTGCTTCTTATTTCATTTGATCCATTTTCAAGACCTGGAATTGAGCAAATTACCAACTCTCACACACAAAAAACACCAATCATTCTCACTCCTCTCCCCAGCTCACCCAGTGGGGGCCCAGATGGCACCATGCCCTTGAGCTCCGCCTTGACCACAGGAGGTGCAGTCTTGAGCTTGGCGGCGGCGTGGTCGATGAAGAGCTGCACCGCGACATCGTCCATCGTGGGGAACGGCGACCGATTCTGTGCAGTGTTCTGGCTGTATTCCGACGGTTGCTGGACTTTGTGCATCGCAACGGCAGGGTAAGGATTCTCCTAGAGGGAGGGAAAGACGGAGAGAGAATAAGAAAAAAAGGGGTCAACAGGGAAAACAGAGAGTGAGATAAGGAAAGCAGAGAAGTGACTTAACGAAAACAGAGCTATAAAAAAGGAGGATATGTCTCACACTGTTAGTTATTAGAGACGCAGGACTCAACAATAAGCTTTGCCCGATTGCACGGGGCAAGTAAAATGGTACGTCAGGCTAGTACAGACCTGGGCACCAGCGGGACGTCAATGGGAAATTAAGAATAAAACGTAAATAATTGTACAACATGCACGGAATACAGCTGCATTGCTTGTATTTTCAAGGTAACTGCTTGTGTTTTTTTATCTCAATTTACGTATGTTAGTACATTCGTGGATGTGTGCGAGCAGCAGCGTCACTGCAATCCCAATAATAGCAGTGTCGGCAGCCGGACTCGGCCCGACGTGTTTCTTCCGGCATGCCGAGCTTACGCCAGAGCTGGACCAGGTCATTTTGGCTCCCTGAGATGTGTTGACTGATGCAGAGCGGACATGGACATCTGAGGCTTTGCTAGCTAAGCTGCAAAATCAACATGCGCAGAAGACCTACATATGTGAACTAGCATTCTCCGTGATGAAGTTTAATTAATCCAGATCCAGATCCTCTCTCACTGACGATCACCTGTCAGCTGTCCTTCACATATCACCTCCCACATTCAACCTGACTTTACTGCACTCGTTCACTGAACTGACAAACAGAAAATGAGGTCATTGGACGACAAACAATAGTGATAAAAGTACTAATTTATCAGAAACATGATCCCTGTCAGTGTTTTACTATTATACTGTATATGGATATTACAAATGTATATTTGTTTGGATCATTATTCCTGCTGCAGATTTTAACTCCTTTATACACTGTTGTTCAGTTTGGGTAGTTAGGAGAGGTTTGACAAATTATAATGTGCAAAGTAACTAAAGCTGCCAGACAAATGTAGTGGAGTAAAAAGTACAATATTTCCCTCTGAGATGTAGTGGAGTGGAAGTACAAAGTTGAATAAAATAGAAATACTCAAATAAAGTACCTTGAATTTGTACATACAGTAAGTACAGTACTTCAGCAAATAGACTTAGTTACATTCCACCACTGATCATAATATTTACTCTAACCACTCACAGCTTATCAAAACCATACAATTTACTATTTATAAGGAGACGGAATAATAAAGAGCAGGATTGAGTTCAGTCTATTGGTCCAGATAGATAGATAGATAGATAGATAGATGGATAGATACATGGATGAAAATAGCAACGGAGTGAGCCATCGTGCTTCCTTTAACTTATATATA